GCACCGTCACGTGAGCAATGGGTAGAGAGAGAGAGAGAGAAGAGAGAGAGAGAGAGAGAGAGAGAGAGAGAGAGAGAGAGAAGAGAGAGAGAGAGAGAGAGAGAGAGAGAGAGAGAGAGAGAGAGAGAGAGGAGAGAGAGAGAGAGAGAGAGAGAGAGAGAGAGAGAGAGAGAGATAGAGAGAGAGAGAGAGAGAGAGAGAGAGAGAAGAGAGAGAGAGATAGAGAGAGAGAGAGAGAGAGAGAGAGAGAAGAGAGAGAGAGAGAGAGAGAGAGAGAGAGAGAGAGAGAGCGAGAGAGAGAGAGAGAGAGAGAGAGAGAGAGAGGCATGGAGAGAGAGGGAGAGAGAGCGGTGAGAGAGAGAGAGAGAGAGAGAGAGAGAGAGAGAGAGAGAGAGACAAGGAGAGAGAAGGAAAGAGAGGGAGACAGAGAAACACTTGTCAACCCCGCTCTTGGCTTCTAGAGCTTCTAGAGCTTCTAGTGCCCGGTTCCCATTGAGTCGAACATATTTGTTCTCACGCCTCTCACGGGCTCGAAAGTCCCGCAGAACCGGAACCGCGCCGGGCAAGTCGGTGGGTCCGGCGGGCAGTTATCGGTCATGCGCCTATTATTAGAGCGCGCCCACATGTGGGCAGCCGCGGTTTCCAAACAGTGGCTATTTGGTAATGGTGTCGGTTCAGTTATTGCGTTCTCAGGCTGCAGTGACTGTCTCCCATGTCTGGCGGGAACGGAAACGTGAGGCAACATGCGTGGTTGCGTTAGCGTGGAGTGCATGCAGCTTATTCGGTTGGCCATTGGTTCGTCTCAATTGTGTTACTTAGCTCCCTGCATCCAGGCTCTTGCTTTTGTGACTTTCATCCACAACCGTTCTTGGATTTTCTGCTTTTTTGCCGCAATACAGCGAGTAAGTCTGCTGGTACAAAGCAACTGTCTGATCTGTGTTATCATAAATGAGCTCTGAGCTTTCTAGTGAGTCATGCGTGTAGTTCAATGTCAGTTTGAAATTTTGCATTTGGTGTCCTGGATGCAGGACAAAAGTGATCAGAGGAGGATGGAAAACTATCCTCACAATGTATTCTTGTCATGACAACATATGCGACTTTTCACCGGTCAGGTAATCAGAAAAGACCAAAATTAGATCACAACGTTCAATTTAAACTGTTCTGTTTGAACTAAATCTGAAAATATCAAAATTTTGAACAAAGAGAACCGTCGATGTCTATCATTCCACACCAGATGTCGCATCCCAACCCATCGCATTCCAGTACGGCTGACGCGGCCGTCGCGCATGACAGCCGTTAGCCAATCAGAGCAACTCTCCTCTGTGTGCCATCATCACTCACATGAAATAGACACATCCAAAATGTAATGCAGGGGCATATTGACTTAGTAGCCCCGGGGCAAGCGCACTCCTCTTATCAAGCATATTACATGCGTTCATACGAATAGATGGTGGGACTAAAAAGGTTAGAACGGACAACAAATGTGGTAGACCGAGGGCATTATTATTGCCATGCATTATATAATACAACATATTGTATAACGCCATGCAGGAAATATCTTGCGCCTGCGGTCTGCCTGCTTTTCAGTTAAAAACCCTGGGTTGTGCCCTCACCCCGATCACCCTTCCTAAATCCTGCCTACGTCTCTGGTAATACGTGTGCCTGAAAACGATTCCTTTGAAGCTCGAGGACTAGAAGGTTGAGCCCCTTATTATGGCTGTAACAGGTCATCTGTGCTCCTGGCTTGCCGGTTGTTTTTATCCCTTGTCTACCTGCCTGCCTATCTTACTTCGATAGAGAAAAACTATCCTCCTTAAGAACGCGATATACTTAAATGTAAAGTCGGGAGGGAACATTTCACCAACTCTCAGCTCACCTCTCCCTGTGTTGTCCACCAACACAGCCGCTTTTAGGAACAAACAGGTGATATTTAGTGCACCAGAGACCCAGATCGGCGATATTTTTGTGGCAAATACCCGAGGTCCCAGAAAGAAACGGACGGTTCTTTTGGAATAGCGGCCGCCATAGGAAATCTTCACAAAACCCATGTGACTCTTCTGAACGTCATCTCAATGCCATTTTCTTTCATGTTCAGAGCTTTCTCGGCAGACCATGCCGCCACTCACAGGGGACGGAAAATAAAGATGTGGAAATGTCACTACGAGGTAAAATCAGCAAGTAAGACCCAGGAAATTTCAACGGTAGTTTAAAACATGACAAACGCCATCAAGACACGTG